AAATTATCCAAGTATTGCATATTTAAGCACAGATTTCGCAAAAATATTTTTGTCGATTATCAGAAATTTCGAGTCGTTGAATATTTCAGAATGGGCAATTCTCAAGTTATTTATAGCGTAGCATTAGTTTCTCTAAAATTACACCCTGTATACGTGGAAACGACAAATGTTTGTAGACAGCTCACCGGCGATTTAGAAACGATTCACGTGCTGACTCGTAGTTTTACTGGTTTCGACGAGCGTAACTACAAACAATTTTTCACTCATCCGCAAACAACTGTACAGAATGGAAAAAACGATCGGCACACAATAGGTGGGCGCTTCGACAGTTCCGGAATACGAGTTATGATATTTGTCGTACGTGACTTAGCCGTGCTACCGCGCTCATAAAAGTTGCGGTTCCAGTGTATCTTCGGAAGAGAACGTGAGGGAATGTAATGGAAACAGACAGAATTTTACGAGCTTTCCTTAGGATAACTCTAAATCAAGCGCCAGTTCGAACCGCGCTAGAAAGTTTTAATTAAGAATACTTACGCTCACCGTTAGGTTCATAAGGTTTTATTTTATGCCTTTTCTGCACCTTGATAGAACGCGAAACACGTTAAGAATTCATTGGTGATTTTGTAAAAATGTTTTCCTAACGAAAATAATATTCTTTTCATTTTTCTTTGTAAACTTGAAACCTAGAAACTAAAACATTTGAAGAATTCATTGGTGATCTTGTAAAATTCTCTTCGTAACGAAAATAATAATTTTTTTTCATTTCTCTTTGTGAATTTGAAACTTAGAAATTAACTCTAAGAATTCATTGATAATTTTTATAAAATTTTCTTCGACCTATCGGAATTAACAAAAATAATATTTTTCATTCTTCTTTATAAGTTTGAAACTTAAAAATTGAAATTTTTAAAGAATTCATTGGCAATTGTATGAAATTTCCTTCTTTCAGAATTAACAAAACTAATTTTTCTCATAATTCTTTGCAAATAGCAGAAAATGAAAGGAACTTAAATATTTGCAGATGTGTATACTATTTTACATTTTCCCCATTTTCTAAATATTAAAATTTAATTTCAAAGTATGAAATTAGTATCGACTTAAACATTTACCTTGGCTGGAAAATGCACTAAAATATTTAATAGCGTCCCAATGACGGCTAGAAAATCATTATTAAAAACTCCAGACGTCACTGTATTTATTATTTTATTATCTCATTGCAAGCTCGCGTTAAATCCAAGAAAATATCCAACTCCTGTAAATCTCCTTTTTCCAAACCTCCTCGTAATTCTCATTAGCAATTCTATTTCACAAACCTCTAGTAAAATAAAATACTCGTTTCTTACTACCTTCTGCAGCTGTCTGTAAAAATTTCGTCGAGTTATAAACTAAAAACTAATTTAGAATCTCTCCTAAGAAATTCCGTCGGACTGCGCGCGAGATCAATTTCTTCTCGCTTTCTCAACTGTTCACTGTAGTGCCTATGCTCTTTTCTATCGGTTGCACGAGCGTATAAAGAAGAATGCGAGCTCGTTTCCCATTAAAACCCGTTGTCTAATAGAATTTTGATGGGAAGCTGTAAATATACCACTTGGAAAGGATGAAGTCATTGGATAATGACTGTCATAGAAATGACTTTTACGATCGGTGTTCGTCTCATCCAGATTCGTTTTCTCTCCCCCGTACTCTTTTATCTCTCCCCCGTTTCGTCCCATCCGCGGTTTTTCTCATTTAACCGCGCTGAAACTCCACCAATTTCAGGATACCAGTCTCTGGAAGCTGTAAAAGCGGTATAATGTGTATCTTCACGCTTAGGTTCGCGGCGCATCGTAAACGACGCCGTGCTGTAATTTAATGCTCCCCAGTCCTGTTTTACAACGTAAAAGGTTGAGCAGATTGAAATTGGAAAGTTATATAATCGAGCGATAGAGGCTGAAGTGAATCTGCCCCACGAAACGCGAGATATCGTGGCGTTTATGTTTCATGCTTCCTCCTTGGTAGTCCATATTTTCATTAAAATGATAACTCTTCGTACGAACGGTGATCTTCGGATTGTTGGCGTGCACAATGTTGAAATGTCGTAAATCTGATCGACAGAGTGGAAAGTAAAATTCTATTAGCGTTTAACAGTAAGTTAAGGGGGCTAGTAGAAGGGGTGTCGTAATTAGCGAATAACTCCTCCATTTTGTGACGTTTTTCATTTTTTAAAATTGGAGATGAAAGCTGAAAGCTGTGTTTATATCCTGTGAAAAAATTGGAATTTTCTATTTAGTAGTTACCTATGAAAAAAATTCCCAAATTCTACACCATTTCTAGACACCTCAGGGTGGTGTGCTCCCTTGAGTGATAATGTGGTGTGTTTAAAGTTTTATGTTGATGTAGTATCCTGCTCTCCTTAACCAAAATGCGCTGTCTACTAATAAAATACTTAGGGATTCACATGTTTTTTCACCTTTTAAGCTAATTGTAAGTTAGAATGTACTGTACCCTTTTTAGGGCTCTATGAACTGTCTAATGTATTCGTTCTAATTGTTCTACAGATGGTTCTACTAGTTCTTGCCTCATTTTTCTTGAATGTTAAAAAATGTTAGTTAAGATAATTGAATTAAAGACGACAGTATTTTTGCTACCATCGTCAAAGGTTAGATTGTGACAAATGTTGACTTTGAATTTCTCTGCATTTCTGATAGATATAGACAGTTCGTTTTAGTTGAAGATTCAAGCATCCATTTGTGCTACATTCTAGTAGATACTTTGTGCAACTCTATGTAACTATTTTTTAGCAGCTGTTCATCTTTAATCACTGTGGCATTATTGTACATTTTGGGATGACACAAAGTGACCTCATATTGGGGTCAAATTATGCAATTATCCCAACTGTGTCCAATTGAGATATAATTGTGATTCTGTCACAAAGAATCAGGTGGAAAACTTGCTACCACAAATTAGCTCTGACTAATGGGTCAGAATGCCAAGAATTTTTCTGGCTTACTCACTGTAGATAATGAAATTTTTTTTAAATATACAGAAAAAGTGACTTATACTCTTCGCTGTAACCTATTCTAAGCTACGAAATTTTTTCTGTAATCACTTACTATAATCAGATCAGTTAAAAGACTAAATCACAATGTTAACTTCCCTCCTAACTCAATTATCCAAAATCTCCTCCTGACAATTTCGCCTGAAATCACAACGAGCCCAAACTGTCCTAATCAAAGATCACCAGAAATCCGATAAATCTCACTCAGAAGAAGTCCCAATTAATCCCGAAGCCCTCAGGAAGTTAGCTCAGTTGGCTCCCTTGGCGGTAGCCACTCATCGCAGCGATAAATTAACGCGGTCAACAAATTCGCCACGAACGATTCAGCACACTTCCCTGAGTCTGCACATACACGCGTGTGTGCATCGATGAGATCAGCGGAATCGTCACGATCTCGCATCGCGTGGAAGGATCGCGATCCTATCATCCAACAAATTCGGCCGCGTGCACGAGTTACTGCCGCTATAAAATTCCGGCCATTTAACGATGGCAAGAATTTATTGGATATTTTTGGTAGCTAATGCGGCCAGTGACCTTCTTCCCTCGTCTCTCTTCCTCTCTCTCTGTCTTATTACCTTCTCCCTTAAATTCTTCCATTCTTCCTCGTGCCCTCTCCTTGCCCCTGTTAACCTAAAACTCGCGAGTATACTTACACTTCTCGCGCGCGCGCAGGCGAGCACACTGCAGATACGCGTCTTCTCTGATCGAGCATGAAGATAATGGCGCCAGGACGGGTTCATTTATTGGGCGTAAATCTCGTCTCACCGCCTAGCGGCGCTCACTGGTGCCGGCGTGTAATCGCGTCCTATACGGTTATCCCTCTTAACGTATTTCATCGAAATTCCTGGTGTCGAAAGACACCGTTTACACGGCGCGACGTTAAGGAAGCTTTACGACGCGGCCGTGGCTACCGCCTCGTTACGAAACCGGTGTTAGGAAGCGAACAGCCAGAGAATCTGTGCGTGTGTGTCTGTGTTCGTGTTCGCGGGGAAAACGTGTAACACGAGGCTCTGATCGGCCGCGGATTTATCGGAACGAGGCGACGATGCGCCGAAATACGAGCCGCTGTTGACGTAATGCCGCGGGAAATGCCGCCATTTGAACAGCCCAGGTCTGTGCCAGGTGAGCAGCGAAACATTCGTCACGTGGGAAGCCGATATTTTATGGATTATCTGATCGGAACGAGGGCGCTCAGGCTTAACCTGCCTTTTCTGCTGTTCGATGGATGTGGTTGGATCGTTGAGAGGTTGTTTTCGTTGATGTTTGAGGAGTTTGTGGTGGGTGGGATTGTGAAGACACTGTGGTGGGTTTCTGGAGCAAGTTAGATGTATAGTTTGTTTCGTACGAAGCGGAGGATTCATGAATGGAACGTTGAGCCTTAATATCTTAGTGAAAATTAAATTTTGTTCATTAAGGTGAGCTCCAAATTAGCTGAGAAAAATATAAATTTGTCGTTATTACGCTTACTTTAGTGTGAATAGCTAAAAAGAAGCGAAATATGTTGGCCCCACGTGGGTCAAGTTCCGAATAAAAAAAAATTGCAGTCAATTGAAAAATTTTAGTCTGGGATAATTTTGATGAATATAATAGATACCTTTGTTACACACACGGCGTTACAGAGGCATAATTGAGTTTTGGTATTTTCAGCAATTTTAGGAGTAGGAATGGTGGTATTGAGGTTAAAGTAAATCTGTGGTAGCTAGTGTAATATTTACTCTCTTTTTTCAGTATGTATTTTATTTGCTGTGAACTTAAGGGTAGATTAGAATTGCTTACAGGCACTTAGCTCCCACTTTCACTTACAACTTCCTCTATTATAAACAATTTTGAAGTAATTTTCAAAAAAATGTAGAAACAATGAAATGGGCAAACACTTATTATACTGGGACACATCTGGTACAATAGTAGCATATCACTGCATTCTTTATAATCCAATTAAAGTAATATAATGTAATAAAACACAATTTACAAAATTGCTTGAAAATAGCTAGAGATATATCAATTGTTTTTTGTTTTTCTTCAATGAACAGAATTATCTTTCTAAAGAGAACGTGGAATTTCTGTTGGACAGGTGAGGTATCAGGTGAAAACGTGTCCGCGAGCTCTGGACCACGTGGCGGCGATCGTGGAGAGGCGACTGATTTAGGCACACACACGGAAAACAACGACGGGGCCACCCTGGCCGCGAATACAGCGGTAGACGCCAGGGGCGGAAGCCCCCAGGGTGCCCACCTTTCCGGTGCGGCCACCCCAAGACCTCCGAGGGGCAGAAGGCGGCAGAACCAGAATGGTCTCGACACTACTCAAGTAAGTTCATAGTAATAGCAATACTATCACACGAGGTATAACTAGTCTTTAGTTAATGCTAGCTTATTGCATGACTGGTAGTTTGGTAGAGTAGTTTGGTTTTATGTGAAAAATTTACAAATCTTTTTTACTGTAATTCATTGTCAGGCGATGCAATTTTATATAGGGACGTTGTTGGATTCGTTTATTAGTTTATATTATCGATGTTAATGTGACTGTGAGTTAGGCTACACTTCCTCTTCGTTAGGCATGGTCAATAATGCAAGACAATTTCAAATGGTTCACTTACAATAATTTAATACAACGTTGAACAGTGAGGAAGGAATCACTTTCGCCAGTGAGCATAGTATAATCGACTTACTATACTATAATCGATGGTAATTCCTAGGTAAGCGAGTAGGCTATGAAGTCATACACAGTGCTCGTAACAGTGTGTCTAAAAATTCCAAAGTTCCACATTATTAGTCAATATTCTTTCCAGTAAATGAAAGGATAAATGCTTCAATTCTGCGATTAAATTTAACTGAATTGAACAATATCTTATTCATTAGAAAATAAACCAGAATACTGACAACCTCCCGAGTGTCAGCAAGCTTTCCCAACAATTAGAAAAGCACAAATGTTAAATTCCATTTAACATTAAGAAAAAATACCTAATCCGTCAATTCAACTGCCACTCGATCCATCCAATCTTCCAAGGATACTTCGCAACCGCTCCTCTAAACCTTCAACCTTTCCCCACACAATAGCCACGCGAAAGTTACACATTTCCAATCCTTCACGTGAAAAGAAGAAGAAACCTCCCGCTTTGTTTGCCTTCCAACAAATTTCCAAAAGACTCGTGTCGGCCGCGGTTTCGAGTGTTTGATCGTCATCGGAAACGGGTTGAAGGAGGCTTCTCGAGAAAGAGTTTACCAGTCGAGGCGGTAGCGTGTACACGTGTGCACGAACGGTCCCGTTCGAACCTGGCCTGACCGGTGCTCTATGACAGCGATGTCAAGCAAAGCCGCAGTGTCATTCCGCCACTGACATCCGCGCGGCCGTTCGACGCTTCTGTAAACGCGGTGCAGAGGCC